AGGGGGGGAAGTTTTAGGAGTGACGGCCAGAGAGAGAGAAGGAGTGTGTCAGAACAATGAGGCGACTGCTGAAGGTCACAGTTCTGTCAAAAAGCCACCAAAGGCAGTTTGCAGTGTAAACGCTGCCTACAGGTGGAAAACAGGAGCAGACACACCTGCTGCTGTCAGGCCTGCAGGTATCAGGCTGTGATGTTCTCCTTCATCTTATAACAGACAGAAACTATATTTTGGAGTGGCACAAATAATTTGTGTGGCATCTTATTTGATGCAGAACAGCTGATTGTTCTGTAGATAGTTTGAAATAGTTATAGAAAAAAAAAGCCTGGGCTGCATTTTTAGGTAAATAGATGCAAATAACTTTGTTGTTTGCAAAACTTGTGCAGGGGTTTTTAAAATTTACAATTTCTATTTTGTATTTCAAGGTATGAAAATGAGTTGTTAATGTTTGTGGTTGTTACAGTAAAAAATATAACTTTTATCTACTGTGATTTTGTTACTGTTCAACGTGAGGGACTCAAGCGCAGAACTTCAGAATCAGCTGAACACAAGAATTTATTTACGGAGTTCACCAGGTGTATATACAGGAAGTGCAGGGCAGTGCTATAGACAACAATGTGGGGGATGGGGCTCCAGGGAAATCCAAGGGGGGGAATCACTCGTTCTCCAACTCTCCACACTCACGACCGCAGTTCCTTTCCCCACACTTGACACCAAGATTCACACAGGGAAGGTTATCCTGGAGGTCTGTAGGCGAGGAAACGAGAATGAGTTACACCGTTCACAAGCTACAGCTCGACTTATCTTGAGCTGTAGCTTGACTCTCACTGACACGTGGTAGACAACGATCCAGCGAAGACCAGGAGTCTCCTCCTGGCTTAAATGCCGAGCGCCTTGATGGGCATCTGGAGTGTTCCCCTTCAGTGGGCGTGGGCTGAAGGTGTGAACCCACAATAAGTTCCGGCCCGGCGACAGAGAGCGAGAGAGAGAGAGAAAGGTAGAAATGGCCGATCAGCGTCTTGCTGATCCCCCAGGCCGTGACAGATTTTATGGTTTTTGATTTTAGATCAATAGTGTTAATACATTATGTCAAAATGAAACAAATAACAGTAAATTCAAACATGTGAGGTTGTGCTGAAAAGAATGACACCAAACAAGGCAAGTAAATAGTTTTTAAAGGTGAATGTGGAGGGAAAAGCAAAATTAGTCAAAAATAGCCAATTATACGCCAGAGAGGTAAAGTAATGCAATAGTAACTTTTCCGAGAAATTAGTTACTTTTATAATATTGTAACTCGGTTACTAACTTGATTACCTTTAGAAGAAGTAACTAGTAACTATTGCTAATTAGTTTTTTTAAGAAACTCGCCCAACAGTGGTGAAGAAGTTCATGAAGTCATTACTAGTTAAGGTTAAAGGGATGGTTGGCTCCACAGAGCTCTGACTGTTTGTCAGCCTGGCTACAGAGCTGAAGAGAAACCTGGGGTTGTTCTTATTTTCTTCAATCAGTGATGAATAGTAAGATGTTCTGGCTTTGCGGAGGGCTTTCTTATAAAGCAGCAAACTATTTCTCCAGGCTAAATGATGATCCTCTAAATTTGTGACACGCCATTTCCTCTCCAGCTTACGAGTCATCTGCTTTAGGGTACGTGTTTGAGAATTATACCACGGAGTCAGGTACTTCTGATTAGAGGCCTTAGTTTTCACTGGAGCTACAGTATCCAGAGTCGTACGTAGTGAGGAGGTGAAATTATTAACAAGATGATCGACCTCTGTTGGAGTACAATGTAGCAAGTTTTTAACAAATGAGCAAGCGGTTTGACAGTCAGACCCGCCCCTCCTCGTCACATCTGTGTTTTTGATTTGTTTTTATTTTTAAACAAATATAGTGACAGTGCAAATGTCAGGGCCTGGAATTCTGGAAACCACCTTTCTATCGTCTGTGGGTATGGATCATTTAGACCTCAAGGTTTAATTAAAATATAACATTTTAGTTTTTAAACTAAATGAAAAATATTTTTTACATTCCTCCTGTATTTGTGTAGTATGACAGGTTTGAGCACTGTCACCTTACACCTTACTTTATTCACTCTGTGCTGAGTTTATTCCCAGTGTTTATAGACATGAATGATAATGAATGATATTTTTTTAATCTAAGTGTGGTTATAAATACAGTACAATATGATGCAGTCATGATTATTTTCCCACCTACTTCTGTACATCTGCACCATTTTAAAGGTCTGTCTTGTACAGTTACAGTAAAGCAAAACCAGCGTACAAAATTGTCACCAAAGGTTTCGGACTGGTCTCCATAAGACCACCTGAGGAGCCCTGATTCATCAGGTCTTCATGAGCAGCTACATTAAAAACACGGAGTAAACGAGAGATGATAGCCTGCACTAGAGTTCAGTAAGAAGCTCAGAGCTCAGTGAACAAGGAAAACGCTTTTTGCTGACACCCCTACAGTGAAGCTTGCTGTGGAGATGACTTTCAGAACAGAGAGAAGGATGAATGCAGCCAAACATCCAGAGGTTCCTCACAAAATCTGCTCCAGACCTCAGAGACGGGAAATTTAGAAGATGCACAGAATCAGAATACTTTATTAATCCTGAAGGAAATTATGTGAGTTACAGTTGCTCCAATACAGTAACAGACTAAACTAATTAAATACTACAATATGTTATGAGCCACAGCAAACATTCAAGTAAATACTGGAGTGGTTTTTATGAGACTGATGATCTAACTCTACTCTGGGCAGAGCGTTTGCTAGACTGGAAGGAAAAATGGCAGTTTTATAATTTAAAGTCAAACTTCTATAACGTAAACACAGTTTTCCCTAAGACCCAACCTCTTGGTTTAAAAATGAAGCCAACATGCAAATGCCATGCAACATGCTCTAATGCCCACTTCAGCCTGGCTCTGGCACCGAGTCAGTCCCCATAGACTGTTTGGTAAACTGTGTAACAACACAGAAAATTATGTTCATGGTAATATTTGTGAACGCAAATAATTTGGTTCTCTGTGATGAAGTTTTGGTGCATGAAAAGCTAAAGTGTAGTGTACTGTTTATTTATTCTAGCTATCTTAAGACTCAACCCTCTTATTGAAATACAAACACTTCCAGCTCAAATGTTACATTTTGAAAGTGAGGCATTAAAATGAAACTTTAAAAACAAAGAGGTGACACCGTGATGGCAGCATCAGTCTTTTATGTAGAGCCAAAGCTTCTCTGCAGTTTCTGCACTTGCCTCCTTGTGCCTGTGCCATCTGGGAATCCTTTTGGTTCTTGCTTGTAGAGACGGAGCAGCTCAGACGCACCAGCAGTGCCTGTAGTTTGGATAGTTCTGGTTTACAAGGTAAATGTTTTAAATACTTTTCTTGGGGCTGAAAGCAGAGAGGGTAGTGAGCTACACCTACCAAATCCAGGCAATTCTGCACAAAAATAATATAAATGTGCAAAGAAGGAGAGTTAAATGAAATCTGATTGCTCCTTTTACTTCACTCTCATATTTAGAGTTCACATTCAAACACCTTAATTTAAAACATGAAATTTCACTTCATGCTATGGATAAAAACCTGTTTCAGTTTGAAATCATTGCTTCAACTCAATAAAATACTGCAAGATGAGCGAGTCCTAACAGCCTAAAACTGAACAAGCTCAAGAAAAATACAGCAGTGAGTGAAGACAGCTAGGGATAAGTGGGAAGATAAGTAGATCTTCTTCATCAACTAACTAATCCTGAAGCAATCTCCAGGGTCACTAGCAGTATCTCATTTGATATGTTGGAGCGCCCCCAAATGGAGACTCATTGTAATGACATTTAGCAGTGCTCTCAGCTTTCTAAAACATGAGACAGGACTTGTGCCTGTTTATGTTGGAAAAAAAGGGCCACCAAATCATTTAAACTTTCACAATCTAATGAGCTTTGCTTCAGATTGGAGCAAAACTTTTCTAATTGATCGTGCATAGTCTAAAGAAGATTTACCCCAGTGGTCAACATCTGGCAGCGTTTCTTAATGTCAACAAATGCAACTGTCCATAAAAGTTATGAACAGAATCGGTGACAAAGGGCATGAGTATGACTTGTTGTTGGCAATGCAAAGCAGGCTCTTGCAACCGTTGAAAGGGATGTTGCTAGCAAAGGTTGCCAACATCTACCCTTCTTGAAAAACTGAACCAGGAACATAGAAATGGAAAGGACACAGCACTGATCAGGCCAGAAAAGGTTAAGGCGTCAGCTGTACCAGAAATAGAAGAAGAGTCAGACTCAACAAACTGGTTGGAAGCCTGATTGTTGGATTCCCTTTGGAGGCTCACAGACTAGAGACTGTCCAGCTCGTCATTTTCAGGCTGAACTGGAGACTGAGAGCTGTACGGCTAAAGTCGGCAGGAGCGAACAAGGCCGCTGGACTCAGTGAAGCTGGCTGGTGATCCCATCGTTGTCTGGGACCTCATGTTCTGGTAAACTACTGTTGTCACCTTGGAAGGAAAGAAGGCAGAGTTGGGGAAGACAGACGCTGAGATTCAGCAGACAAATGTTTTGTAAAAAATTAAAGATTTAAACATAAGTTTTCAGAATTTATCATCAAAATGTTTCGTTTTACATGACGCCCTGGACCTCCTCGCTCTGGCTCAGAGACAAAATGCTGCCCAGGCGGTAAAAACTTTTTTATGTGTGAAAAACAAGACACCACGGTGATTGGTCTAAACATTTTAGGGTGGCCTCAGGTCTGACGTTGGCTCAGGTTTCTTCTTCTGCAGCTTTCTGGGCATCTCCTTATTTGGAGCCGCCTCACCCATCACCGTGGCAACCACCTCTTACCCTCTGTCAGACCTACATAAAGAGATAGATAGCTTCTCCAAGCCCAGAAATTTATGACCATGTTTAAGGTAAACATGGTCTGGTGAGGCAGAGAGGGGGGGGCTCCTCTCTGTTTAGTCAAACAACATCAGAGTAATATTAGCCTTACAGATAAACATAAATCCCAACACCACATTCACTCGTCTCTCGTTATAAAAGGAAATGTGTGTGCGAGCATACTTCCTCTCTCTTTAAACAGCCGTCAGTCGTGCTGCTCTCCTCGTAAACACTGAGGAGATTCGACTGAGACTTCAGCTCCTGTTTCGATGTAAGTCTCAAAAACATTCTTCTACTTCCTGATCACAAAGCTAAAGATTGTTGATTATTAAACCGCCCTATGTGGCAGGTCATCTGGACAGTTTATTAGGCTCGTAGCTTCAAAATAATCAGCATCCTTTAATAAAAGCAAAAGGTTGTTTATTGATTCAGTCTCTCTTTATTATAGCCACGCATTCAATTTTACGTTTTTAATGTTTTTACATTTATTTTTTACATATTTATTTTTACATAAATATGGTTCTTGAAGTATAAATCAGGCTTTGAGGCAACATGCAGCTAATCGGGAAAATCTGAAGTTTTGACAGAACTATTGCACAATACTGAATTGTTGCATAGTGAGAACAAGAAGAGGGAAGTTCTTTGTTCTGCTTTAGTCATGCTTATAAGCTGCAGGATGAACAGCAGATCAACAGACTATAGTTTTACAAACTATTATACAGAGACTTTACTCCAAAAAAGGCGGCAGGATGTTTTGGGGGAAAAATGGACAAATCTTTACGAGTGATTCAGAACACGGCTGGATTCAGTCAAACGAACATACATAACAGTATTTTATGGGTCAAGCATCATTTCCTGCAATGTTACCGAGTCCCACTTACAATCTTTGAAAGGATTTAAACAGCAGCAGCCAGAAAGACAAGAGCTGAAGCTTCTCCACAACAGAAACAACCTCAATGTAACTTTTTTTTCACAAAGATATGTTTGGTATAGAATATATATGTAAACAGTGTAAAGATGGGCAAGAGAACAAACCAGCTGTTCTCCACAGAAACAGCCAAGGTGTACTCTCAGTTGCAGGGGAACAATATGAGAACAGCACCTCCGAGGCTGGAGATGCAACACTAGAAGAGGACTTGGGGCTTAGCACCCAATCTCGGGCGGGGTGATGATATCTCCCCCCGACCTGTCGTCATGGCTCCCCCTTGGTGTAGCATTTGTGTTGTGCCTCGTCAATCTCTACTCATGAGAGCAGTCCCATCTTCCAAATGTTGGAACACTGAGCTACTAGTTGTTTTACCATCACTGTGGATGTTGGTTATGGAAGAGTCCATAGTCTCTCATTTTATTCATGTAACCCCTTCCACTGGGGTTGAAGCATTCCAACAGCGCTCTACTTTAATCTCTTGCCCACCGATGCCTTCTTCTTCCAGGGGCCCACTTCTCATCAGGGTGCCCTGGTTCCTCAACACCTGATGTGGACCTTGTTGATCCGGGTGACGTCCGAGCCAGTATGGGTTCATATTTATCTCTCTCACTCATGTCTGCGGTAGGCTTGGTTAGCATAAGGGGGTCTAGCCTAGGACCCTTAACATGTTAATATTTTATAATGTTTATAAGCTGGACAGAAAAGCTGAAACTTAAAATACATCTGGTAAATAAGTGGCAATATTCTGTTATCAGGGAGCAGTGATGACGTCAGAGGACCTCTTAAACACTCTGGAAGATTTGGGAGATGAAGAGTTTAATAAATTCAAGTGGTTCCTGCAGCAGGAAGAGATCCTTGAAGACTTCCCGACCATCAAAAAGAGCCGACTTCAGGCAACAAGCACGTGGGACACCGTAGACCTGATGGTGCAGACATACAGACTTCCTGGAGCTGTTGAAGTGACCAGGAAGGTTTTAGAGAGGATCCACAGGAATGATCTGCTGGAGAGTTTCTCTGCCATCTCTGGAGCAGAAGGTCAGTCACAGGACGAGACAAACATGTTGTTTCTGCAGTCTGACCTAGTTTCACGTTCATTATCTCTGTCTGTCAGTGGATGTCAGCGATGGTGGGGAGACATCAGAGAAAAGAGGATCTTCCTCCTCTCAGACTCGGGATTCTTTTTCTCAGACCAATGAGAATAATGGTAATAATTTACTTTCCAGACATACAGTAATATGTTTGAAATAATATTAATTATTATTTTCATTGTGATGTCTCTAACTGAGCACACGACGTGCAATGTTGGGAAGGTTACTTTTAAAATGTATTCCACTACAGATTACAGATTACATGGCCCAAAATGTATTTTGTAACGTATTTCGTTACTTTACTCAATGACAGTAACGTATTGTGAATACTTAATATATTATCATGCTTTTTACAACTACATAAATGAACTATTGCTGTGTGATTTATTACTGAAGGTTACTCTCCACACCAACACCAACCAGATGTTTAAATCTTAATATAAATGAGTAACAGTAGGTGGACATTAGGTAAGGCTGCACTTTTTGCTGTGATCTCGTGTAGAAAACTATTCCTCGCGTATATAAAACAGGTCCGCGGCTCCGAACCGTAGTAAAGGACCTCTGGCTGATACGTCGGGTTCGTGTCGGCTCGTAGCTGAAAACTAGCTTTACTTTGTTGTCTGGGTTACTTTGGTAGCAGAGACAGAGAGAGGCGTTGAAAGGCTGCTGCAACAGGACTTATTGTTTCAGAGGAAAACAGGAACACAGTCGAGTCTTAACAGCTTACTCACAGCTGGGCTCGTCAGGCTCTGTTTGGCTGCAGTGGTTATTATTATATTTACATGCTTCCAGCTCCCGTTTCTGCTCGGTGACAGCTCCTACTTTTCCTTTTTCTCCCTCCTCGCTCACAGACACATCACGGGTCCATTCTCCCTGCAGCACGGACTACACTGCCCATCAGGCTACATGCTTTAGGGCGATGCCTTCATATTAAATCATTTTTGTATAATAATTTTTTAGAATATATTTTCACATCATTATGCTGGAGGTGAGATTGAGACACAGGCATTAGAGCCTCCTGTGTTTTGTTTGGGTTTCCTCTGGCGTGGAATTACCAAAAATAGAGAGAGCACAGCCTAACATATGAAACAGGAAAAGACCGTGTAATCCATTTATTTCAACAAAGTAACTGTATTCTGAATACCACCTTTTACGGTAACTGTAACAGAATACAGTTACTCATATTTTGTCATTTTAAATACGTAATGCCGGTACATGTATTACGTTACTCTCCAACACTGATGAGGTGGTCTTTATTACAACCACATTCACCCATTTAAAGGACAAATTTCACAAATTAAAAAAACACACACTGATATTCTGTGCATTTTAAGAACTTTCCAACTATGATGCACACACTCACTGTCCAGTGGAATCACAGAGAGTTTTATTGACATGCAAACTGCAGGACTGAACCCACTGACATGTCATTTAGTAGATGACCTGGTCTATGGCCTAAGCCACAGCCACCCTGCTTCTAAACAATTTATATTGATCAAAGCCGGGAGTCCAGACATTTTTATTAGCCAAAGCAAGTTTTAGTTATTTCATTTACCATTTATTCCCAAAGTTCGGCATAGATGTGGATCGATCTCATGCACGGACAGGCACTGAGTTTGGGTTAAATGTGAGCTGGGAAGGAGCTCGATCTCTTGAACCCATTGCAGATTGTTTTGAAGGCCACAGAATATCGCAGATCTGGTGTGGAAGGAATTGGACCTGCTGTGAGAATTAGAATAGTGCCAGACCAAAATACCTCCAGAGATGGGTAAGGCTCAGGACCCAAACTCTTCCAGCTCTGCTGTGCTGGAGTTTCCAACAAAGAACAAAAGGGTCATTTCTGTAAAACTTTGATTCAGTGCAAGTACATCTCCCATTGTTTTGTGTCCTTTCAGTTGGTGATGATTAAATGCAAGGCCTGCCAGATGGTCATCGAGATAGGCATCTCCGCACAAAAACCTCACACTTTCTTTCTTTTCATTCATATTTGACACAGATGTGATGGTTCCAGTACCAGAGCCTCACCCCATCGCATCTTACCAACAGATGCTTCAATCAAACTTCCAGGACAAGTTTATGTGCGCACAAGAAGGTTGGGCAGAAGATAAACAGTGTCTGGTTGATATCTACACAGAGCTGTACATCACAGCTGGGTATGATGTACATATCAACACACAGCATGAGGTCCGGCAGATTGAGAAAGTATGGAAGCCAGCAGAGCCAGAGAAACCTATTAGACCCACAGACATGTTCAAACATCCTTCAGGAGACTACAGACCCATCAAAACAGTGATGACCAATGGAATCGCAGGAATTGGAAAAACTTTCCTTGTCCAGAAGTTTGTTTTGGACTGGGCTGAACAAAGATCCAATCAAGATGTGCATCTGATTTTCCCCTTCACCTTCCGTCAGCTGAATCCTCTGAAGGGAGAAAAGTTCAGTTTGGCAGAGCTCATTCATGAATGCATCCCAGAAACTGTAGGCATCCCACAGGAGGCTCTTAATTACATCTTTACAGATGTTCAGTCATCAGGAATCACCAACTATGACAAGAGTAAATTCAAACTTCTGTTTGTGTTTGATGGGCTGGATGAGAGCCGCCTTCATCTCGACCTTCATTCTGAAGCCATTCGCTCTGTCGATGTAACAAAGGCAACTAAAACAGATGTCCTGCTGAGGAAACTCATCAATGGGAAACTGCTACGCTCTGCTCGCATCTGGGTAACCACACGGCCTGCAGCGGCCAATCAGATCCCTCGAGAGTTTATCAGCAGTACAACAGAGGTCAGGGGGTTCACCGACCCACAGAAAGAGGAGTACTTCAGGAAGAGATTCAAAGGTAAGGAGGAGGCTGACAAACTCATCTCCCATATCAAAACAACAGGAAGCCTCCACATCATGTGCCACATCCCAGTCTTCTGCTGGATCACTGCTACAGTTCTGGAGGATGTGTTGAAAACCAGAGAGGGAGGAGAGCTGCCCAAGACTCTGACTGAGATGTACGCAGAGTTCCTGGTGTTTCAGATTGATCGGACAAAAGAAAAGTATGGCCCAGAGAAGAGCATTCAATACATTAAGTCATTAGCAAAACTGGCCTTTGAGCAGCTGGAAAAGGGCAACCTGATCTTCTATGAGAAGGATCTGAGACAGAGCGGCATTGATTTCAGCGAAGCCTCGGTGTGCTCAGGAGTGTTCACAGAGATCTTCAAAGAAGATCGAGGAAGGAAAGGGAAAGACAAGATGTTCAGCTTCGTCCATTTGAGCGTTCAGGAGTTTCTGGCTGCTCTTTATGTGAGGATGTCGCTTAACAACAGTAACATAAATGTGATGCCATTGCCACAACCATCACTGAAAAACCTTTGGCTATTTTTCAGTAAAACTGCTTCAAAGAAAATCCACAGGAATTTCATTAACAGGGCCTTGCAGAGTCCAAATGGACACCTGGACTTGTTCCTTCGCTTCCTTCTGGGTCTTTCACTGCAGACCAATCAGGACAAACTACAGGACGTGCTGAGAAAAACAGACTGTAGTTCAGAGACCACTCAGAACACAGTTCAATATATCAAGAAGAAAATCAGTGAGAATGTGTCTGCAGAGAGAAACATCAATTTGTTTCACTGTCTGAATGAACTAAATGATTGTTCGTTAGTGGAGGAGATCCAACAGTACCTGAGTTCAGGATGCCTCTGCACCCATGAACTGACTCCAGCTCAGTGGTCAGCTCTGGTCTTCATCTTAGTGTCATCAGAAGAACATCTTAATGTTTTTGACCTGAAGAAATACTCTGCTTCCGAGGAAGCTCTTCTAAGACTACTGCCTGTGGTCAAAGCTTCCAACACAATAATGTAAGTGCACAAAACTACCACCCATCTAATAATGTAACTGTAATAATGTGTTTCTCGACCATTCAGCATAATCTCTGATTCTTAGCATTTACCCAAATGTATTTGTGGGAGTAAGAGTGATCAATGCAATACTGTTTAGTGTAATAAAGTTATTTGATTTCATTTGCCTAAAAGTTATAGTGACATCAGTAGTCAGCTCAGTCTTTGATTCTAATAGTAAAGAATACTTCACATATTTGAAGTTCAATTCAATTTCATATAGCACCTAATTGCAACTGCAGTTGCATCAAGTAACTTTATATTGAAAGATAAAGACCCTACAATAATTAAGAGAAAACAGAAGACCCCCAAAATATAAAATATAACTAATGAGAGGTGTATAAACACCATGAAGAAGTTCATGAAGTCATTACTAGTTAGTGTTAAATGGATGGTTGGCTCAACAGAGCTCTGACTGTTTGTCAGCCTGGCTACAGAGCTGAAGAGAAACCTGGGGTTGTTCTTATTTTCTTCAATCAGTGATGAATAGTAAGATGTTCTGGCTTTGCGGAGGGCTTTCTTATAAAGCAACAAACTATTTCTATGATTAGCCTCTAAATTTGTGACACGCCATTTCCTCTCCACCTTACGAGTCATCTGCTTTAGGGTACGTGTTTGAGAATTATACCACGGAGTCAGGTACTTCTGATGTGAAGTTCTATTTTTCACAGGAGCTACAGTATGTCATTGATTGAAGCACAATCTGAAAGTTTTACTGTTTTACATTGTACACCCGTGTTAGTGTTTGTCTGTGTGTGTGTTTTTCTTTAAAATTGCATCCAGACTGAGTGGCTGCAACCTGACAGAGGAAAGCTGTAAAGTACTATCATCAGTTCTCAGCTCCAAGCCCTCCACTTTGATAGAGCTCGACATGAGTAACAATGACCTGCAGGATTCCGGGGTGACCTTGCTGGCGGCAGGACTGGAGAATCAACACTGCAAACTGGAGATTCTCAGGTCAGAGTTCAGAACAATGACAACAAACAGGACAAGGTGAAAAGACAAAGTTAACCATCTGATGTAGTTACATACACACACCCACAACCACCTACACACACACAATGGACAAAAACAAATAACTGGCCAACTGTACCCTCATCCACACAATAATAACATGGACTGAACCACCACTCACTACCATTAGCACTTTATACAGCCTCTATAGAAATCATCCACATATCTCACTGATCTTAACTGCACTACTGTAAATGCTGTATAGACAATGATTCTGTACAATATGGTAATTACCCATAATAGACCCATATTTTGTACCCTCATACCTATAATAGACCCATTCCTGTAATATACTTACATATCTATATTATTGCTAATATATATATATTGTAATATATCTATAATATGGCAAAAGCACTTCTGAATAAACGCAAACTGCATTTCGTTGCCTTGTACTTGTGACATGTGCAATGACATAAAGTTGAATTCTATTCTATTCTATTCTATTCTATTCTAGTAAGATATACTTATATCTGTTCAGTCTCATCACTTAACCCCTTAGCAGTCGGACGTACCGCCCACGGTACGTCCGACTGCTAACCCTTATAGGCAAAATTTGTAGGACTGCTAAGGGGTTAATTTAGTCATCAAAGCATGTGTGTGCTGGTCAGCAGCTCATGAGAGACTGAAAATACAGCAGTAGGCCTAAATAACTTCAGACTGGCTGACTGATGTAAGAGGATTACTTGTTTCCATGTGTACTTCATAGGATAAGATCTGCATATTATTATTTATTGACTAACTATTTTCTACAAACTCATCACTGCTGTTGGGGGAAATCTGAACACAATAAAATAAAATTTGAAAGCTTTGGGTGATACAGATTAGTCCTTAAAGATAGCGAAAACGAAGGTGATGGTTATGACCTATAAAGTGTTTTTTTAATTGCTTCCAGACTGAGTGGCTGTAATCTGACAGAGGGAAGCTGTAAAACACTGTCATCAGTTCTCAGCTCCAAGCCCTCCACTTTGAGAGTGATTGACATGAGTAACAATGACCTGCAGGATTCAGGCCTGACTTTGCTGGCCACAGGACTGGAGAATCCACACTGCAAACTGGAGATTCTCAGGTCAGAGTTCAGCTTCGGTTCAACTGATAACCATATAAATGTTAATTAGCTTGATTCAAAGCTTGTAGTAACAGTGATCAATTCTTGCAGAGACCATAAACAGCGGACAATTCAACAGGGATAAACTGCTGTTCTTCTGAACCTGGCCTTTGATACGGTTAATCACTAAGTGGTTAAGTTATCTGAATTCTAATCTGCAATGTACAAAACTTGATTCAGTGTTTTTCTCTGAGAACTGTTAGTGTGCCAGGATAAAGTTAGAAATACCACCACAAAGGGGTCTTGGCATTACAGTAGTGCCACAGGGTTCGATCTTTCAGCCATTGCTGTTTACTGTATACAGTGGGGGAAATACTTATTTGATCCCCTGATGAATTTCCAGGAAGAGAAAGAATATTAACCAAAAATCCAGAGAAACAACATACATAAAAGTTAGAAGCTGATATGCATGTCATTGGGTGAAAAAAAAAAGTACACACACACACATACATATACATAAAAAAAAAAAAAAAAC